CAAATATCTATTTTGCTTTTTTTAAAGCCTGAATATAGGGCCAGATTCCTAGCCTGTCTTAGATGTGATCCTGGTTCCCATGTGAAGATGCTGGCTGCAGGTAATCCCCTTCTGAGCAAGCAATTCCAGAGCATGTGGTGCTGGAAAGGTCAAACTCATTTGCAGGGAGCTGTGTTTAACTGCGCGATGCAGAAGTGAGCTTCATTACTTGTAATTAATCCTCATGGTTCCTGAATGTCAGTTTACAGACACAGCCATGAAGGTAGTCCATGGAAGATAATTAATATTTGTTATTCCTGACTTTGAAAAGACTCTGGATAGCAGTGTTTATAAGTCCTTCCTACTGGGAGAGCCTATGAGGAAATTCCCTGATTAAATCATCAGTGCTGTTCTCTCTGCCTTAAACTGTTGTTTTACAGTAATTGCTGCCCTTTCACAACAGAAGGGCATGGGGTGATATGGTGGAAGACACACATTGGCAGATTTTCACAGTTTCAGAGAAAATGTCCTTCGGGGAAAGGTTAATGCGGTTATCGGGCAGGTTAATGCTCTGGCGTTCCCTGAGGGCTGTTCATTGATATGGGTACAGGGGGGTTCCTTTATAGTATTTTTATTTTAAAACTATTAGGCTGCTCAAAGAGAGTGAATGAAATCTAAAAATACGTGTTTTATTAACAGCGGAAATTTCTCTTAGAAAATATAGGTCAAATTCTCCACAGTTGTCAGTGTGAAGTTAGAACAGCTAGCTGTAGCTGAAAGTAGAAAATATTCTCAATTTTGTGAATTTCACCGGGGTTCAGATGAGATTTTGACTCCCTATTTGCATAGCAGGTTCTGCATACAATCGTACTATTCTTTTTCTGTATTGCATTGTAGACTGAACTGAAAGATTAAAGAGTGATTTTCTTGCTTTGTAGGCCCATTAGACATAATCTTATTTTGCGTTTTGATGTTGATGTGAAGCATTTTTCAATTTTATGTAAACTCTGCAGCTTAAAAATACGAAGACTGATTTTTGTGCAATTTTATGGTCTGCAAACTGAGAGATTATATAGTACCTCATACAAAATTTGAACCTCTATTGCCCAGCTCTTTAATTTCTTCCTTTTTGACATCTCTGTAGGAGAGCAAATATACAAAAGGTTTCTTCACATGCTAGAGTTGTTAGAAAATATTAGACTTATTAGAAAATATTTCTGGCTTAATATAGAGACTCACTGGTTTTTGGCCAGTTCTTAAGATGTAGAGTTTTCTGGTTTGAATCACAACTTTCTCTCATTAGAGTGACTCTAAATTACTATGGAAAGAGGGAAAAGCAGTTGGTGAGTTTTGGTAAAATACTTCTGTTAGTGAAAGTCCTTCTTGAATATGAAATAGCCTATTTGATATAATGCTGGTATTTTATTGGCTTATGAACTAGGGTCAAACTTCTTAGCTATGAATTAGAAAACTTAACTGCCTGGATTTTAGTGCCATCTTTCCGGCAAGTGTTCAGTGATCCAGTGAAAAAAATTAATCTTTTTTCTACTTCACTGGTTTGGCCATCATAAGCAATGTTATTAATTATGGACTCTAAAGTAACAGCTTTTTGTCTTTTGTGACCTAGTACTTACATTGTCAGAAGTTCTGCATTTGCCACCTTCATGGTACTAATTAGTATGTTTATAACGAGCTTCCACTCCGATACTGTGATACTCATCAGTCTGCACACCTGACAGCAGCTGGCCTACCTCAATGGCAGACATAAAGTCAGGGAGCTAAATTCTCTGCCATATGGAAGTTGGCTATGAAAATCCACTTCTAATTCTATCCCAAATGTAATGGTGTTTTGAAATGTACCCTTTCTTTATGGATAATGAGTTAAAAACATTGGAGAGTTTTTATGCAGAGGTTTTAAGAAGGAAGGAATAATGGTTTATAGCAAGAAAAGAAAGAAACAGATAGCTAGGATAATAGTCCTAAAGCTAGTGAATGGAAGGATTTGATTTTCAAGGTTTACTGTAAAGTTTGCTCTCAGAGTCATATGACAGCCATAAATGGCACAGGGTGCAGAGTTTTAATTTCTGCAGGGAAGTCATGTTTATCAGGAGTGGCTTGTTTGCCAAAGTGTCAAAAAAAGCTGACAAACTAAAACATCATGTTGTCACACAAGGGATATGGCTGGGAAAACTGCGTGGTGAAAAGTGACTGAAAAGCAAAGGAGAGAGAAGAAAAAAGCTTTACCTGCAGTATACTGGGATACTTCCATCCAGTGGTAGCATTACGGTTTTGACAGTCCTTGTTATAGGATGGGTTGTCTTGCAGTGAATGCAGCACCACCCAAGCAAGGTGGAGCAGAGGTGGGCTGAGCATTTGGGATCAAACAACAGTTGAACTGCTAGGGTCCCCCTGAGTGTTGACTCATGCTATGGGCTCTCCCAAGTGCTGTGGTGGTGTGGTGCTGTGTCCTCCGTGCCAACAGGATTTATTTGGATCCACAGAGATGGCTGGTCTAGTCCCACTCGCCTCCGGCCTCGCTTCTCCTGCCACCTCTCAAAAATTTGCTTCCACTGAGTTTGGGGCAGTGATGTAAAGTACAAACTTCCCATCTGAAGTATGTCTGTCTAAGGATTTAGAGACATAGGACCTGAAGCTTTTTTTTTGCCTCTGGTTTAAACTTTTTTTATGCTTGTCCTGCCAGACTGCTTCTAGGCAGGGGATCCTGATCTCCTTACCTCTTGTATTGCTCCCAGTGTTTTTTCTCCTTCTCCTTTCCCTCTCCTGCTGCTTCTGGGGTTTACCCAGCTGCATGAGGGAGCAAAACCAAAGTGAAATTAATTATACTTCATACTGGGTTAATTTTCATATGGGTTAGTTCCCTGACCCAGCTCACTGCACAACATCCAAATATTCATGCTGGCAGGAGCAGACGGGAGAGGAAAGAGCAGCTGCAGGTGGTGATGAAGGCCGGAGCATCCTCTCCAGCAGCAACACTGGTTTATACTGGGGCTTTGTGCTCCTCTGTCATGTTAGACAGAGCTACCTCAGGAGAGGGGTTTGTCACCAGGGTGTTGCACCAAGGACTGGGACAGCCAAAACACAGAGACTGCAACCACTCACAGAAGGCTGGCACAGTCCTAGCCCAGCTCTCCAAGGATTGCCATGATCACTTTCCTTCCCAGTTTTCACTGATTTCTGGTTTTTTTGAGTCATGAAAAGTACAGATAAATTCTTACTTTCAAGGCTTTTTAAAAGGAGCTGCACTTGGGAAAACTTCTCTTAATAAGGTCCTGTCACTTTTCAAGTTCTTTTCAGAATTTTCCAAATCCATAATAAAAAGAAAATCTGTGATTTCCCCTAATAATAACTTCTATATGTACTTAATACTAGGTTATTATTCATGGTTTTATGTTCTTATACTGTGTGAATTGCACTTTACTGTGTGTCACCTTTTGTAAGAAAATCTACTTTTTCCTTATATTTTTTGTGAAACAATGCACTGTAGTTCTTGAGTTTTATAATTCCCTGGGGACTTTCTGAGTATTTAAAAGATGAACTTGCTGTCAGCCTTTATACCTCTACCTTTTTACTTGAAGAAACTACTGGCATCTTAATGTCTAAGCTCAGGTAGAGGAATGCATTCATACAAATTTTGTACAAAGCTTATGTTAGCGTATATTGGATATGTAATTGTAATACAATTTCTTTAGGTAAATAATACATTTACCACTTGCAAAGGACAGACTTTGGGGGAGTTTCGTAAGGAACAGCTATAATGAATTCTTGGGATTAGCTTGCTATTTTTATTCCTGTCAAAAGTGCAGGGTGTTTTGTTTCAGCACCAGAGATGTGACGTGCTCAGGTGCTGTGCTCAGCACTCTGAGATGTGGGGTCTGCCCCAGAGCACTCTTCAGTTTTGACTGGTTGCCAGCCCCAGCACTGGTGAATGATCACCTTGGGGCAATGGGGGACAGCAGAGGGCTCTCTGAGATCCCAGTGCCCACTGAACTGGGGATGGGTTTATTCAGTGGCTGGTGGGGCAGGGAGCTGGGATGAGTTTGTGTAGCAACTTGGTGGGCAGGGCTGGAGTGGAAGGAGGACCCCCAGGAGAAGGGACCATGTTGGCCACCTCCTGTTGCTTCTAATGGACGGTGTCTCTTTATAAGTGCTCCTACAATCTGTGTGTAGTATCTCCTCATGGGTTTGTATACATACATATCTTAAAGCCAGACTGGTTTCACGGAAGGTCTCTAACTTATTATTTCCTGGCCAGCAGTTCATTAATGCAAAGTGTATGCATGGGAACGTAGAGGGCTCTTGACCTGCCTGGTGCCTGGCAGCGAAGTTAAGCAAGCATGAAATCATTAACACAAGATGGCATTTGTTTGGAATTGCAGTATAACAGAACTCTCTTGCAGTGACCATAATTGGACCATCCATTATTGGATGTAAAGAGGTTGCAAGTGCTTAGTGGAGAGGCATTTTTGGGTACATGCTATGCCACATGCAGGCAGGGCTGGTCCCTCCAACCAGGGCAGTTGGTATCAGAGGATTTTCTTGAAGAATCTCCTTTCCACCCACATCCACCCTGGAAGTTTTTCACTAGGTCTGGCAGCTCTTTACTGCTTTTATTCACAGATGAATTTGAAACTGACTTTTTGCTGAGAATCTGCTTTTTTATGCAATTAAAAATAATGTCATTAAAATAAAAAGTCTTCATCATGTTTTCTGTTGGCACTTTCTCTGGGAGAAGCCTTGTTTAAAGCAAATTGTACAGAGGGTTTTGCAAAGGTCTGAAGAATGAAAAGTACCTAGTGAATGTTTTCCTCATTTAAAAAAAATTCTGTTGGCTTGGTGTAACTCTGACTTGGCGTGAAAACTCTGAATTTATTTGACTCTGTTGGTCTTGGCTGCGGCATGCATCTTCTGCTAATCTTGGAGAGTTAATGAATTAAACGCAGTGACTTATTAAAGCAGCTGCACAGTGCTGACATTGCAGGGAGCCCTGGTGCTGGCCTCAGGAGGCAGTGGGGCAGGGGCAGCTGGTGCTGGGGTTGCAGAGGCTGGTGTGGGGCAAGGGCAAGCTGTACCAAGGCCAGTGAGGACCAATCTCCAGCATCCATCTCTTTTTCACCACCACCACCTCCTTTTTCCTCACTATTCCTCTGTTTTGCATCCTGTTCTACTCCATAGCTTACCTTGCACCTGTAAAAGGAGTTATGTGCCCAAAAGTGTGCGTGCTTTTTTCCCAAAGGTGCATCTCTCTACCAATCTCTACCATATCCTTAGACGGTCATGATTACAACAGAAGTGTTACCACTCAAAAAGATAAGACAATAAGCACCTTTTCTACCTGCAAGTCTTGTGTTACAACTGATGAGGTTTTGCAGAAGCAGTAGCTGAGAGCTGCAGGACATCCCCCTGCATGCCTTGTTAATCTCTGCTGTACCCCTTCAAGGCCTTATTATAAAGTGTTTGTTTGCCTTTTCTTAGGAAATCGATCTTTCAGCTGTATGGTTTAGTCAGCATCGTCTCTTTGGTGAAGCCTCAAAGAACTTTGTATGTCTATAGAAAGGGGTTTGATTTATTTTTAATTTTAATGTCAGTTGATTTCATGTCTAACAGATATGTGCCCCCTGCATTAGTGCAGCTCCCCCACTTTTGTTGAGAGCAGCAAAGCACATGAAAAATTATTTTACGAAGGAAAAGGTCTTGAAATATTAAATACAGCATTTTAGTCTGAATCTAGACTTGCCATTAGATATTTCTATGTCTTTTCCCCCCTAGGTTAAAGCACGCTTTGTGAGGAAACTTCTTTCCTCCGTAACAACCTAAATGTTGTTAAAGAAAGTCTTTTGGTATTGTTTCATTTCCTCAATCTCAGAGAAATTTTGTATCATTTTCCTGAATCCAAGCCCTATCTTATCTGTCAGTGTTTCCCCCTGATGGATAGGCAGCTGTTGGGACAGGGTATGGCACTTGCCTAAGGACTTCACTGCTGCCACAAATCCTCGTTCTTTATTCCTTAATCCTCGCCAGTATACCTGTGATTTTTTCCTAGGGCTGCAGGGGTTTACCGTAGTTCAGAAGAAGCGTCCTTGTCAGGCAACTCAAGATGACTTAAATAATTGGCACATCCACTGTTGTGTTTATCTGCTGCTTGCTCCCCCCTCCACCCTTGGATTTTGACTCTTCTCCAGCTGTTACTGAAAATTGATTGGTATTTTCTTTTGGATCATTCGTGAAGACACAAAGCAGTTTTGTAACCAGATCCCTGTAGGCCCCATTAAAAAAGGTACTCTCAGATGATGAAGCCCATTTATGATTAAAGGGGTTTCATTCATGTGTATGAACTCATTGTCAGCTGCTCTTTAATCGATTTGGCATCAGCTGCATTGATTTTGTGTAAGTGCTTTTAAAAACAGTCAGAGCTGCTAGTTATGCATGTGTCTGGGTGCTGCACAGAAGTCTGTCCTGGACTGTAGATCGCTTCTGCCCATTGTTCTGTCAGAAAACAGCAGCAAGTTTGCTTCACTAGACCTGTTTCCTGTAAAACCATGTTGATTAGGGTTAATTAATTATGCTAACATCTTTTCATTAAGCGTATAACTTGGACTGCTGTATTTAGAAAGTAATGTTTCGTTTGTTTTACAAAATACTTAGGATCCTGAGTCCAGGCTGCAGTTTATTATATATAGGAAATACGGTTTATTTGTTTCTCACAGGCCTTCATCCATAAATTCAAGAGTGGAACGATGAGCTGTGATTTACCAGCTGGGCCATTCCTGAGTGTCTGTCTTTTCTTTATTTCTTGATTCATGTCCTCCAAAAAAAAAAAGTCATGACACGTTATGGGTTTTAAAAGGGTGTTTGTGTGTGTTCGTTCCCCTTAGTTCTCTCTTCTGTCATCTCTCTACTTGAGAGCTTGACAGACTGTTTTAGCATTACTGATTGCAATAACACACCAACCAAAATTCATCCATGAAACAGAACTATAGTGCTGATTTCAAAAGCTTTAACAAAAGGCATCCCATCTGGATCATTTAAAGCTCTCATATGGTTTGTTTCAGAGTGTGAAAATTGAAACGCTCCATTCTGAGAACCCAGAAGTAAAATTGGGTTTGATGTATAGCGAACTCAACAGTTGTTTTCCAACATGCTTGTTTTTTCTGTTCTTCCTCTTTTTGCTCAGTGTTATAATTCATAAACACTTGAAGATGCCATTCCATTCCCTACAATTTTTATTTTTGTTACCTTGTTTATGCTGTATTAAACCTTGAATGAGACAAAAATTTATGTGGTGATGATAACTCTGGATTTGATACTGCTCCAGACTTTTATTTTATTGATTGAGACATTTATTATTTCTATTTCTTTGCTAGTTTTATGATTACCAAAGATATTTTCTGTTTAAAAAGCTAACAAAGTGCATTGCTGTGGCACTTTCCATGCACTGATCTGGAAGAACTTTCCTGACACTCCTCGTGGATGGAGGAGACGTTATTTTCCTAGCACAAGTGAAAATTAGGCACAGATAGGATAGATATGGGACCCAGAAGCAAATGAAAGTGCTTCATTACCTTTGCTTTTGCCTTACTTATCCAAGCCTGTGACCTAGCACAGGGGAGCTCTGTGGGGAGAACAGCCCTCTCCTGTGTCATTAGCCAACTTACATCACACTCATGTCAGATAATTCTTCATATATATTTTTACCATAGAAAATACTTAAACAGTTGTATTTTCTGTGCTTTATTCAGTCCAGTGGCATGTATTTCAACCTGAAGGAGTAACTTCCTGAGCTAAAATCAGTCAGAGATGTTGCTGCAGGCTGATATGGTGTTTTGGTCATTGAGTGGTATGCTTTGTGACTTAGGTTGACAGTAAAACACAGCAAAAAGAACAACCAAGTTTTATATTTTAAGTGTTCCAAGCTTGTGTTCCCAGCATCTGAAGAACAGAAGACTTGACAAAGAAAGCTGTGGACACATTGAAATGGCAGCCCCCCCTTCTCTCCCTAAGTTTACAGGGTCTGTTGTGGGAAATGCACCATACATTCATGAGTATACTGACAGTGTCAGTCAGTGATGTTTGGTAGAGAAGTCTCAGATGACTCAAATTCAGGTGGCAATAAAGAATCTCAATATTGAAGCAATTAAATAATTGTACATTTTTGTTAAACTTACAGTAGCAGAATACTCCTACCAGTCTGGGACAGGAGCCCCATGATTTAGTTTTCAGAGAGAAGAGAAATGGGAAGGTCACTTGGCAGTGCAAAACTACCCTAAAGCAGATTTTTTGGGATCTATATGCTTGTATTGAGTGAGTTCACTTTAAAGTTCTGCTTAAGGCAGGGGACTGGGGGGGATGTATTTGGGCAGCATGGCTTGTCCCAGAACTGATGAAGGTGAGCAACAGCAAGGCACCAGCATTTTCCTACAGGCAGTGCTGTTGTGACTCAGTCTCTGTGCAAATTTGTCCCGTCTCCCTCATTTTTTAATGCAACACTGAAACGGAGGGAAGAGTCCTGTGATGTGGCAAATGTAGCCCTGGTATGAGTGGGAGCAGCACTCATTTCAGCAGTACAGAAGTATTTCTGCCAGCTCCACATCTTTCCCTGCTGAGCTTTACAGTTTTGTTTTGCTGTGCACGTGGCTTCATGCCCTGTTGAAAAGCCTTCCTCCCTGCAGCAGCATCCTGCCTGCCGATGCTTGCTGGAAGCATTTTGTGGTACCTTAGGGACACCCCTGGTTGTCAGTATGGTGGTAATGCACAGATAGCACAGCAAAGTGGGAAAGAGTTTATCTGAGTGTGCAGTGCTGACTAGTTTATGTGTCCGGTTTCTTCTTTGCTACTACAAAAAAGGTATGGTGACACTAGTTTCTAAATTTTTTGCTCTCATTCTAAAAGGACAACATTAGGTATATTTGTGTCAATATAAGATCCTCCTGAGCATATCTCCTTTTAAAAATGTTAAGAGCACAGAAAAAAATATGATTCCCTTAAAACAATGTATCTAGCCCACTAAAACAGAGTTTCAAGGTATTTTGTCTTGAACAATACTGACAGAGGTGTGCCCGAAGAAGAGATCAGTGTCATTTGCATTGCTGTCTCTTAGTGGACACCCTGAAGAGAAGATCTTTGTGTTAAGGATAGTTGCTCCCACATAGTAACATGGTGAGTTCAGTGTTTTTCATGTTTTTTGCAAATACAATGTTGTTAATGCCATTCTTGATGAAGGAAGAAGCTGATAATAGTAATTTATGCACAGATGACTCTCCTTTCTTCACCTCCCCTTTACCAGAAGAAGTATATGAAGCACTGCCTGGGTGTTTTTAAATACAAACTTTCACATAAAAAAGGTGGGGTATTTGGAACTGGTAGCTTTTCATCTATGGATATCAATGAATGGATAGCATTGTGTTTTTTTTCCCTAGCAGCTGGCAGAGAAAAGAAATTGAGGGGAAGAAAGGTCAGCGATTAGAGAGGAATGCCTTGACCTCTATTCCAGACTTAAGTGAAAAAATGTGAGAAATACCTCCTAAATGGCCAAAACCACCTGTGGATAAGTGGTGGCTGTGGTAGTTAAGCTGTCATTTATGAAAACTGAAGAAAGGCAGAGAGATGACTGTTTGCTTTAAACATCTTAGGGAAGAGAAGATTTCCATGACAACACGGAGTTAAATGCTAGCACTGTAAAATAAGGAAAAAAAAAAAGTCTCTTTCAAGATATCTTGCTGAGTCTCCTGATGGAGTTCCTCTGTCACCTAAACAGATTAAGTTTAGGATGTTGAACAGGGCATACAAAAGGAGTTAGCAGAAAATCTTTGAACCTGTGAAAATGTGCTACAGCATCAGTACCTTGCCTTTATGGTTAACTGCTAGTACAGAAAGATCAAGAATTTTTGCCAGTGATTTACTGTCTGATGTGGGCATTCCTGTTCCAAGATTTACCCCTCTGCAGAATGCATTAAATGCTTCCTTTACAGAGTTGTGCAAGGGGTGATCAGGCATTGGAGCAGGGAACAGGTTGCTCAGGGAAGTGATGGAATCACTGTCCCTGGAAGTGTTCAAAAAGCATGTAGATGGCATTAGCAGAACTAGGGAAATGGTGTACTGCTGGACCTGGCACTGTTAGATTAATGGCTGGAATTTATGGCTTTTAGAGGTCTTTTCCAACCTTAATGACTAAATGATTCTCTAATTTGTGTCCCACAAAAATCATAAACACTCTGTGAAATGACCACTGTTTTAAAAAGTAAGAAATTCCCAGACGTTTTTGCATAGCAGCTTTGAAGAAATCACAGCCATGGTTTGTTTGGTTTTTTATATAATGCTGAGATGGGCAAGGGAGTCAAAATCCACACAGTGCAATGTAGACATTCTGTCCCTCTTGTGACATTCCAGCCATCACTGTATGGGAACAGTTCTTTTATAGGAAGAATGACAGTAGCCTGACCTGTGACATACAATTGCATTTTCCTATGACAAATTTAATTAACAAGATGGGAAGTTTGGTGAATTTACACATTTTGGAATCCTGGTAAGAATAAGGCAAGATATGGCTATTAATTCTCGAGGCAAAAGTATTTTCCTGCCAATGTTTTTGCATGCTGTTGTTGTCAGCCCCAGAGTGAAGGAGTTAGGGGAAAGATCTATATTAGACCTCGATGAACATCCTTCATTCACATATCAGTTGTGGGAGAGAAAGTGAGACCTGGAGATTTTGGAATAATATGTGTTTGGTCAAACTCCATCTGTGTGCAGGGTACCTTCCTCCTTCCCAGCTGTCTCAGGCTCTGTCTGTAGAAACCTTTACCCTGCAGTCGCTGTCCTGATACAGCCACGGTTTCACCTTCGCATCTGTGAAGATGGAGACTGTTCATCTGGGTCAAACACACCACAGAGCTGCTCATTTGTAACACATTTAACCACCACCATACCATTTCAGTGTTTGGACAACTGGATAGTGAAAATGTCAGTTGCCAATTTTTCTGTCTGCTGATTGTTTTAGTCCTCTTTTTCTCGGGGAACAATTTCCTGAAGACTGAAGGATGATTTGACTTTTGCAGGTGGCTGAGGGGCTGTACAGCCACTTAACTCTCTTTTTGCTTGTCAGGTGGGTGCTGCATCTGACCCTGTCCTCTGCTCTCTTTTCCACCTCTTTTATTTTTTTTCTTCTTTTTCCTATTTGCTACTTTATTTTAATAGTCCCATGTAACTTGCCAAGACCAGCAATGTGACTGGAATACAAGGACAAATTAGAAGCAGTGCTTTCAACTTTCTGTTCGTGAAGTTTGCCAGGTCTTGCTGAGACAGATAAGGCCGTATTAACTCTCTTTAATGGCATCTGCTAAATACTAATTTTAAAGAGAGAAAGGTGCCCAAGGAAAAGCAGATATTCCTCTTTCTGGGGATTTTTTTCCCTTTGTGCTTTAACTTATAGGACCTTCAGAAACAACTTAAGGTCAACTACAACTCTTTTCTTGTTCCCCAAAAGAACTGTAATATCCTTAAACACCACTTGAACTAACTGTGGTCTGTGGATACACAGATATATGGATATATGATTTCTCTATTAAAAACAGTGTCATTAAAAAGAAGATATTTAGCATTTTTTAACTTGTGCTTTTAATCGAACCTAATTATTTTATGTGACTTTTATTTGTTAATGTACTAAAATTTTGTGTGTGTGCATTGCTTGTTTAGAAGTGAAAAAAACCCAAAGAGAGCTTGATATAAAATCCCAAACTGCGATTAATAGCACATTTATTCATTCTTTAGTTCTCTGACAAAGAGCAATCAGTTGTGAAAAAAATGGTTTCAATCAAGACAAAGAAATTCTTTCTTGCCCCAAAAGAAAGAAAAAAACCCATGCATCTTGTTCCAGTGTTTTCTCTTTCTCTGTGTCACATTTCATCTTCAAGCTCTGAAATAAAAGCAAATGAGATAAGAGCCTGGGTTAGAAAACCAAAGAGGAAGGGTGAACCTATTGCCTTTTTACTCAGTTGAAGATAATTATACCACTAACCCGAGACTTGAGAGGTTCAATTCCCTTTCCTGCCTGGGGGAACTTGAACCCATTTGCAGGAACAGTTCCTATAAACGTGAATGGGAGCGGCTGATCCCAGTATACCTTTTTTGCTTTGCCAATGGTGTTCCCACTTTGCACAGCTTACTTAAATATTCATTAAATGAGGAAAAAAGCAAGCTCTCTGCAGCAGAGGTGGATGTAGAGAGGTGCTCAGGGAACCTGTGGTCCTTGGCTCAACAGCTGCTGCCAAAGAGCCACCAATATTGCATGGGGGCTGCAGCATCACCCAGACCCCATAGCTGTCCCACTCTGGGCACTGGAGGTACAGCACTTCCCTGTGCCCACAGACTTCTCTATTCTATCCAAGAAAATCTGGGGTCTGTAACACACAACCATATTAATGTCAAAGGATGCTGCAAGAGTGGTGGTGATGTATTCACCTATTTCCTGTCAAGAGGGGCAGCTGTGCTTCGGTGACGTGCTGCAGGCTCAGCAGATGGAGGCTGAGGTCTGCTCCCTGCACAGGCTGGTGCTGCCAGGCCATAGGGTCTTCAGCTGGGGGATGGCAGGTCCTGATCAAGTCTTGCTCGAAGGCACAAAATTGGCCATTGCTGCTGAGAGAACCAGCTCTTGTTCAGAAAGTGCATTTCCTCCTCTGGCATTTTCCCATGGCATTTCAGGAATCTGTATCTTTGCTGTCTTTCTTTTTATTAAAATTATCTGAACATCAAAGCATTCTGGATACGGTGCTGTGAAAACACTGAGGTTTTTTGTCCTTTTACATAAGGCACCTTGAAACTTCATTACTCAGTAAACTGCTGCATGTCCCTAATTAACTGGTTAGTATTGCAACAGTGGTCGAGGGCTTTAAAACACTGGGTAGGAAACGTCTCTCCCAGCTTTATCAGCACAATATATCATCCAAGTCTAACCTTATCTTTGCACTGCTCTTAATAATGTCTTCTCTTCTTTACCCATGAATACACATCCCTTTCCGTCTATACAGTCCCTTCTGCGTGGGGGGAAAAAACAGTGAAAGATAGCATGTTGTTACTTTGTAAGTCTTTTATGGGAGTGAGACCTGCAAATTATTACTGCTGGCTTCTCTCTCTGGACAGGTGGTCATTCTGGCTCCAGGGACTGCAGTTCTATATGGGTACCTTGTCTCACCATATCATTATCCTCATCTCTGTCCATTTGCCTGCTGCTTTCCTTGACATATTTTAATCTTGCTTCTTGCTCTGATTCTGTAGCTAAGAGGAACTCAATGCTTCCTTTGGAGTTCCAGATGTTACATCAGTAAAAATATTTTCTAATGGGTTTTCTATTCTGAGTACTTAACATGGAGAGTTTTTTCTTAGCTTTGTGTTTACACACAATCTGTAATCCCTCTGGAAATAACAATGGCTGC